GGGCATTAGCCTCTGGTAGGATCTCCAATGTCAAACAGGCCTTAGGGGAGGGGTCAGACTAAGATTGATTCAAAACCCTTGATGAAATGGACTAGAGAACCTCGCCCTGAAATAGAAAATCAGGGCACTTTCTTGGAGCCAGGCCTGGGGGGAGCTCGCTGCCGAGCACCTTGTGAATGAGCCTTGGATCCTGACGCTCAGCTGGGCCAAGCCCGAAGGGCCAACAGGAAGCCACTTACACGTGGACCCACCACCAGCGAGAAGGACCATCAAGGTCGAGTGTGATGCATGCAGTGCAGCAGGCAATGGAGGCACTCTGGCCATGCCAATTCCGGGTAGCATAGACTGGCTTTAGGGATGTGGAACATAACCTTTTTCACGGGTATGGAGCCAAAGCTTGTGAGTAAAGTTGAACTTTACCAGCTAGATATAGTTGGGCTCACTTCAACTCACAGCTTGGGCTCTAGAATCCAACTCCTAGTGTTTTGTAACTGGATTTCTATGCTAAGCACAGATTGTCCATAATGAACACCATGTTTGATCATAGGGTGGTCCATATGTTTATTTGGTACCAGACCCACCTCAGGGCAAAAGTCAATATCAATTTTGTAATAGTGTCATCTGGGGGAGGCTGCCAGACAGACTTGGATGTCTGGCAGACCCCCCCCCCCCCCCCATCCATGCAATTTTTAACTCTCACCCAAAAAAATGGAGGCCCTAAACATAGCTCATTCAGCTTCCTCTCTGGCCTGGAGGTCCACAGGACGAGCTGGAAAGCATTGCTGAGGAGAGGAAAGTCTGGGTTTCTGTCCTGGACCTGTTGTCTCTGCCACCCGTGATTGGATAGAGATGGAGATGGAGATGGATTGTAAAGCATTAAAAACAGTTTTCATAATGAGCTTAAATTTTGCTTTTTGATATAATGCAATAATTTAAAAAAGTTGCATGAATCATAAAATTGTTTAAAGAACTTATTTTTTATGCATGAGCATACACTGAGGACAGCTTGTAGTTTGAGCAAAATTCAAAGCATGCAATTATTTGATAACCTAAATAAGCCAATGATATCAGGGGATATGCTCCCTTGCAAAAATGTTATACCCTTTTTGTGATATCGAGTGATATTCAGTTATACAACATATGTTATACAGTATATATATATATA